TCCAAACTCGGAGCTCATCCAATACACTTGCCAAACCTCAACGTTTTAAACATCCATTTTTCTTTTAAAAAACTGATCAGTCATAAGCCCTGGGCTTGGTGCCATAGCTCTTCTTTTCTTTCTCACTGATTGTGTTATTTTATCTACAGAAGAGGTTAGTAAAGCAGTAATCTCTGAAAATGTGTTTATTAAGCCCAATTAATAACTGATATGTAAGGGTTATTAATTATCTGAAGTAATACAAGGTTTTAATTGGTGACAACAACTAGACTCCTGAAGGCTGTTTCTTGGGTTACTACCTGTTCGGTAGCTACTATTCATTAGACTTCACATGTTATTAAAAAGTAGGTTTCTATTAACCTTAAAAACAAAACAGCAAATAGAAAGAACAACTGTATATGTTTTTATTAGTATGGTGGTGAAGAGTAGTATGGTGGTGAAGAGTCCAGACTTAAGAAAAAAAAGACTTTGTCTAAGGGAAAATCACAACATGTACAAAAATAGGGAACACAGTATCATGAATCCCACATACTCATCACCCAGACAGCCATCAACTTGTAGCCAACCTTGTTTCAGCTACACCCCACCCACTTTCCCACAACCCACTCTGGACTATTTTGAAGCAAATTCCAGGCTTCATATAATTTCATTTATAACTAGTTCAATATATATAAGCACACAGACTCTAAGTTACACAGATCTGGAGTCAAATCTAGGGTCTCCCACCTACTAGCTGTAAGACCCTGGGCCATTGACTTCACTTCTTTGAGCCTGTCTTCTATTTGCAAAATGGGGATAGTAATGCTTGCTTCACAGGATTGCAACGTGAGCAAAATGAGATATGGCATCTAAAGAACTGAACTTAGCGCTGGCACACAGAAAGTAGCTAACACACGCAGCTATGGTTATTATTAACAAACTAGCCAAACCAGAGCTACTTCTATTTAAATTATGGGGTGTCCAAACAAATGAGCCTCTTCAGTGGCAATAATGGCATCCCTGTGCCATCCACCTGTACGTATTATCAACACATCAGGACAGAACTCTTTCTGACTCTTTTCTAACGAGGCTCACAAAGAAAGTAACTGGTATCAAGTATCCCTATATTTTAAAGAGATACTAACCTCTTTATGCTGAACTTGTAGAGACAGAAACTAAAAATGATTTGTAATTCATTCGCCAAATATTCACCTTCAGGAGCTTAAGAGTAAAGAGGTCCAGAAAAAATCTCCATGGATAAAGGTGGTAGAGTGCTGTGCAGTTTCTTACTACACTCCATGGGTGCGGGAAGGAGGTGCTTTTCTGTTACCTCAAACCAAGAGAAACGGGGTTTCAATAGGCCCTAAGAGAGTACAACTTGCTTACCCTGGAAATTTTAACTGTAGACATCAACTGTAGAGTACAAAGATTGGTGTCTGGCTTCCATTAAGAAGCAGGACAGAGCAGCATGTGGTGGCCGAGTGGAGGAAAGCAGTATGTCCTGTCAAAGTGAAAGGGGTCCTCCTCCCTGCTGCTGGTCACCCACCCTCAGGCAGGTCCCAGCTGGGGAAGGGAAGATTTCCTTTTGTAATGAAGTTCAAAGTGGACATTTTAAGTGCCGAAATTAGACTCCTCTTGTGACTAGAAGTGGTAAAAGAACTTTTTAAAAATCTAAAGTGAAAGAAAAAGTTATAGGATATATATTATAGGAGACAAATATACGATATGATATATATAGGATATATATTCCATCCAAGAAGAAGGAAAAAAAAAGAACCCACAGAATGAGTTCAAAGGGAGAACTGGAAGCAAAAATTAAGTTGGTGTTTCTCTTCCACCCCATCCCATCCTACCCTTCTAATGGAAGTAAAGTAAGGAATACCTTCTATACATTAATAAGATGTAGACAATGCACTCACTAAATTACATAAATAATGTATGATCAAGTATTAAACTACGACTTGTCACTTCTAAAATGAGTAACTCTTCTGAGTGGGCCAGGTGCAGTGGCTCACACCTGTAATCCTAGCACTGTGGGAAGTCAAGGCAGGCAGATCACTTGAGGCCAGGAGTTCCAGACCAGCCTGGTCAACATGGCAAAAGCCCGCCTCTACTAAACATACAAATACTAGCCAGGCATGGTGGTGCATGTCCGTAATCCCAGCTACTTGGGAGGCTGAGGCATGAGAATTTCTTGAACCTAGGAGGTGGAGGTTGCAGTGAGTCAAGATCCGCCACTGCCCTCCAGCCTTGGGCAACAGAGCAAGACTATGTCTCAAGGGAAAAAAGAAAAAAAAAAGAATAACTCTTCTGAAGATACATTAGAAAATCTGCTTTTTCTCTTTTATTTTTAATTGACTAACAGCAGCTAAGTGATGCTTCCATGAAAAATTTTATCCATTCTTCCAAAAAGAAAGGAACAAAGAGGCAATAAAAGTTGAAGAGACAGAGACAGAGGAAAAGAAGGAGTCATGTGCCCCAAGATGACTGATCCAAAGAGAGCAAGGTCCTTTGTTAAGCACTAAAACAGTACTTAAGGGGCAAAGCAGGATTTCCTGCCCTTAAGGAGTTTGGATTAAACAAAATAGCAATCTCCAGAGATAAACATACAGTCTTCTGGAGGAGGGGATGGAATGAAAAGAAATGCAAACCTGAAAAGAGCCAAAGGCCTAGTAAAGAATCCTTGTAAAGGCTACTTGTGAAGTCACATGAAGCCAATTCCTGGCTCTTTGAAAACTCAGATCTTAGTCAATCAGTTATAATGACATATTCTGTAGTTTCTGAAGCACTCCTACATTGGTTTTGAAAGCTCATTCCATTTAAGATCAATCCTTCTTTGGAGCCAGGGTTATTCATTACTTTCAACTATGGAACACTATACTGACCTTTATAATAAAAAGTGTGAACACTGTGACTGCATTTTGAATTATAAGTAGGCATGAATTCATTCTTGGAAAACAGTAAATGCCAAACCAGAGCTACCTTTATTTAAATTATGGGGTGTTCAAACACATGAGCCTCTTCAGCGGCAAGAATGGCATCCCTGTGCCATCCACCTGTGCAAAGACAGGTGACAATTCTCATCCAGAGCATGTCATCTCCACAGCTTCTGGCACAAATTCTAGACAACCCAGCCCTCAGTTTTAGCACTAACTAGCCACAACCCAAATTAGTCACAGAACACACTGTACATGGTACATAGAGGGTTCAGGTTCATTTTTAGCAGTGGCCTCCAGTGTGTTACTTCAAGTTTTAAGTTGCTATCATAACACAGTTGATAAAACTACTTCTTGTCGTAGTGATAATGAATAAAAGTTGAGTCTCATTTTCAGTCCTGGCTTACTAAAACGGTTTGGGTAATTGATTCCTGTGTAAGTCAAGGCAATCGAATTTATTTTTGGTTATGCAATCACAGAACTGATTACTTTTCCAATAAAAGTCAAAAGAACTAGATTACTTCCCAGAATAAAAAGTAACAAGCAGTAGTTTGTATATGTGAGTGAGAGTGAGAGAGGGAGAGTGAGTGTGTGAGTGTGTGTGTGTGCAAACGGGCATGTGGAGGTTCTGCCAATTCTCCATCTGGAAGCCACGATATAACAGGATAACCGCAAACTGCATTCTCACTGGTTAAGTCCATGAATAATGCCCAGATAATCTAGCAGGCCTTAAAAAAGAAATGAATGGTGACGTGTAACTGAGGCTCACACAGTCATTTATAGTAGATTGATTTTCCAAGGTACTTTTAGCAATTCAAAAAACATCTTGGATGGAAGGCAAGAAGAAATAACACGTGAAAAAACAAAGCAGTTTGTTTCCCACTGCTAAGTTAAAGAAAATAGATTTCTCAATGATAGCTCTTTTATCCTATAATCAGCAATCCTTCAAAATAAAATACGGCTAGTCTAAACCAACTGGATGAATAAAAAGGCATCTTTCATCTAACCATGATTCATTTTTACAATTATTGTCTACTTTAAAATAATCTACTTCAAACGTGATTTTCCTCCCCCATCCCCGCCACCAGGGCAAGAAGACCACAGGTTACACAGTAGGCAAAGTACACCTCGAGGTAGGAGAAAACATTTGAGATGTGATTCTCTTCTTTAGGTCAGTGAAGTCACCTGGAGGTAGAGGGAAGAACTTCCTTTCTTTTCTCAAGTCTGAAAACCTTTTTATTCTCAAGTCTGAAAACCAAGTTCCCAGAAACACTTTTATCTAAGGGCAAAGGAATGATGAGTCTCCCCAGGGGGAGAATATAAGAAATGACCATAAAGTACTAAGAGTGAGTTTTAAATAAATGTGCCAGAACTAATACACACAAATGGATGGTGCCCCCTTCAAAGTCATTACCCTGGAAATTATGTACTTATTCTAATGATAATATTATGGGCACTTTGGAATTTGTTTCAGAACTCAGAATTTCCCACATCCTTAAAGCTAGCAAGTGTTTGTCTTTTCGGGTTGAATTTAGCAAGTCAAAAGTGCTCAGAGTAGCTGTACTTTTTGTTGGAAAATCTTTCTTGAGATGCCAAATCTAAGTTACTTGTCCCCTCCTAAATGATCCCTGGGCTTCTCCCAGCAGAGTACTTTTCACTCTCTCTTTGGAACTGCTTACTTACTCATCATCTGTCTGACAAAACTGTAAACTTCAACAGAGCAGGGAACTTTTCTACCTTCTTTATTATTAGACCCTCAGCCCCACCATAGAGCCTAGAAGATTATAGGCAGTCAAGAAATACTGAACCATGCAAGCTATTATAATGTAAAATGGTTTGCAATACTGTGTGCGCCTTATTTGTTTACCTTCCTTACTCCTCTCGGAAAAGAGTTTTTATTACGCCTCTGTGCAATTACTTATCTACATATATGTTATACACAGGAATTTTGTACTTTAAAAGTGGTTGGATTCATTTTTCATTACTTATTTATATACAGAAAAAAAACAAAAATAATTGTATCTTCGCAGATTAAAAACTTACAACTTTTTCCCTCCCAAATTTGCAAGCGCAATAATATCTTACCTAGTTGCAATATCTTTATAGTGTCGCTGCAGGCCTTCACCACCAGCTTGAAATGGCGATAGAGTGGGTAACACAGCACCCTTCTTCCAAAAGACACCATGATTTCATGAACATTAGTCCAAGTCTGTGAAGTGACATTTTAATAAGCAGTCATTTCCATCAAATGTCACACAAACAAAAGCACACAATGAAATAGGAAGCTTTTCTCATTTAAAAGCTGTAAGTTCGGATCATTGTGATGCCAAGTAGAAGAGAAACATAAAACCATGAAATAAGATTATTTTCGTATACCTTAAAATAAAACATAGAATCTTAGTTTTTCTAATTTCTCACACTATCAATACATCACAAATGTCACAAGAAAGCTTTTTAAAGTCCTAAGTATTTTAGATTCTTACAAATAAGAATCTAAAACACATGGCATTAACAAAATACAGATGCACATAAAGGATGTTTTAAAATAATTTACATTTCATGTTTTTGTCATCTAGGGCTATTCAAGATGGCACACATCAAAAATGTAGAACTCACCGGGCACGGTGGCTCATGCCTGTAAAGCACTTTGGGAGGCCAAAGCGGGCGGATCACCTGAGGTCAGGAGTTCAAAATCTGCCTGGCCAACAGGGCGAAATCCCGTCTCTACTAAAAATACAAAAATTAGCCAGGTGCGGTGACAGGCACCTGTAATCCCAGCTACTCAGGAGGCTGAAGCAGAGAATTGCTCAAACCTGGGAGGCAGAGGCTGCAGTGAGTCAAGATTATGCCACTGCACTCCAGCCTGGACAATACAGCAAGATTCCATCACAAAAAAAAAAAAAAAAAAAAAAAGTAGAGCTCTTTAGTAAAGTATGTTCAACTTCCTCTCCTCTTTTTTTCTTTTTTTTTTTTTTTTTTTTTGCACTGGACATGGGTAATACAAGACATTTACTTGAGTAATTTGTTCTTGCTTATCAAACTGATTTCTACGGAAAAAAAGGTGTTCTATCTTGAATGGTATCAAACTGATAACATTAGCAATTCAAAACTTACTAAAAACACTAGACAACAGAAAATTTCCACAAAATTGTTTTTCGATAAACAAAGTATTAAAAAATGTACACCATATGTGAAACTTAAAACCAAGGGAGAAAGATAATTTACATGTACATTAATCCTTAAAACTATGAGAAATCTGATTAACACTGAGTATTTGACATAAAGAGAATTATGAACTTAAAAACCATAAATAGGTGAATTTTCATGTAGATTTTTAATAACTACACCACAAAATCATCCAGTCACCAACTACTTCCAACATATTAATAAATGCTAACACGGAAACCGATTCCTCTTATATGCTGATCATGGCAACATGAGGAACTCCAATGAAGCCTAGAGGGGAGCACTTTTCATCTTCAGTAGGCATACAAACTCCCCAGAGATCTTGCTACAAATTCTGGTTCTGATTCGGTGGGTGTGAGATGGGACTGAAATGCTGTCTTTCTAATGAGCTCCCAGCTGAAGCCGCTGGTCAGGTTGTTGGTCCTTGAACCATTTTTGGAGTAGTAAGATTCTACAATGAAGTAAGTGTTTCAGTTCCTGTTTACATCTTACCTATTATTTTAACAGTGACGTCAATGAACCAACCTGGATTTTGCAACTTAAAAAATACTGGTTGTTTTCATTGATGATATAATCTTGATACTTTTTTAAAGTTTCTGCTTTTAATTACTGTTTTGATGCACAAGTTTGTTAAAAACTTATAAATTTAAAGATATTATCCTTTGGTATTTTTGGTGAGACCTGCACAACCATCTTTCAGAACACAGAAACAATTACTACCATACTAAAAGAGTTATCAAATGTAACCAGACTACATTTGAATTGCAGGACTTAAGATAAGTGATTTAAGCTATATGATCTCTAAGTTTCCTCACCTGTAAAACCTGCAACACTTACCTCACAGACTTACTGAGAACAGGTGAAGTTTTTCTTACATATACATATATATATATATATATATAAAACATATAAAAACATTATTTTTCGTGTGTGTGTGTGTGTGTTTATTCTTGGCATAGGCCCTGATGGTCACTTATCACCTAGGTTTGCTTCCATCTTTGAGTTTCAAGCTCCAATAAATACATGCCAGCTTACAAACACACCTCTCACTCTGCCCCACATTCTTTCCCAACAAACCATGTCTCCATCCTCTCTCCGAAGTGTGTTTCCCTCCCCCAACTTCCAAAATACTCTACCTGGTTTCATTATCAGAATTTTATTAAAAAGATGGAAAACAAACTTGTACAATAGAGCTTCTATTTTTAAAAATTCAAGGAATTGCTTGAATTACCCCAAATGATGTAAAAACAACAAAAATAACTTCCTGAACAACAAACTCTAAACAACTGCAACTGGAAATCATACCTCAAACCAGCATAGTGTTGGACTCAGTTTCCTGATATTCCATGCAGATTCAACCTGTATTTGTTTTGGAGAAAAGAGTACCATCACATTAAAGGTAAAGTCATTTAAACAAACCAAAGAAATCCATTTTTTCAACCAGTGTCTGAGGATCACTGACATATGAGAACTAAGAAGTGTTCACAACTATAGAAAAATAATTATTTTGCTGATGCAGAGACTATCAGTGGGAAGTTTCTGTTTACTTTACTTGGGATTTTTGAAAATAAAACTTTTCTACTGATAAAAGTACCAGAACACAAGAGCAAATAACCAGGGGTTTTGAAACTAAAAGTTAAAGCAAAGTAATCCCTGCTCAATTTCTGTCCTTTTTCAACTAAGTTACATGCCTCCCAAACAATCCATAAATAATCTATCAAAGGAATCAAAGATAATGTTGAAGTATTACCTGTGGCACTTAAGAAGCTGCTAGAAAATTTGATCTTTCAGAGAATGCTGGTGAGAATAAGCACATTCTACAGGAGGTCTCAAGTTGTAAGACTTGATGATTTTAAATACACAAATACAAGAATAAAAAATGGTAAATTTTTTCAAGTATACCTAAACACTCATCTTTTCAAGATTTAATATGAAGCATTTTTTGTCAAAGAAAACATTTTCTCCATTTACAGTATCTTTAAAAGATGAGTGAAAACCAAAAGTATTTTCAGATATATTAAGTAGCCTTAGCACACTCAATTAATAGTCATCTTGGAGTCAGACACAAACGTCAAGAGTCACCCTAGAAATTTTCAGAATCATGACAACAAAAAAATTGGTACACAGAAAATTCTAACTCTAATACCATCCTAGTGCCATAATGTTGAGTGAAAAAAGCAGGTTAAATAGTATATACGTTAGGACCCAAGGTAAATACACACAATATAGACACATGTGCACACTGAAAGAAGACTGGAAATAGATACATCGCTACGTAACAACGGTTATTTCTGATGACTAAAATTACAGGAAATCTTAATTATTTCCTTCGTTTGTATATTTTCCTTTACAATATGAATTATTTGTGTAATTCAAAAAAGGAAAGTTATGCTCAGATCAAAAATAACCTTTAGAGCGAGGACAATTATAAACAGCTGCAGCACCACACTAACTAGAAAGGCTGTTTTTTTGGTTTCCAGCCTTTTTAAATATACAATCAATGGTATAGGTGAAAAGGAAGTTTACAATATCAAATATGGTTTAAGAAGAAATACAATAAAGTCTATATTATTTTTTAAAAGATTAAGAAATAATTTACAAAAAGATTTACTTTTATAACATGATCCATTTAAATAGCAAAAAAAGATATAATTCAGGTTTTAAAAAATCTGACTTACATATAATTTTTCAGAAATCCACATACTCTATGAATTGAGGGACACTTGCAGGTAAATACTAAGATTTCTTTATTTTGTAAAATGCCATATTTTGCATCTGCTGACTTCTGGCTGAGAGAAAGAATATAAATGGGTATGGTAGTTTACCCCCTGGCCAATGTGAAGTTGTCATGTGACAGAGCACTTCTCTGGCCTAAAAGAGATGAGGGCTCAGAGTAGCCTTCCTCTCTACTCTCAGCTTTACTCCCTTAAACTTCCCTACTCTGCTATTTTGCAGAGACTAATCCCAAGAGAAAACTGAAAAAGACCGACTAAGCAATGTATGATTGCATGTGGGTACCCACCACCACCACCCCACACACGCAACCCTGCCGGGGGCATCCCCTGAATAACTAATCACCACCAGTTCTACTCTAGACAAGAAAGACTGATGCTTTAATGCAGTTTACTCAGCACAGTCATCTATGGCAACACGCACACATACAAGCACTTACATTCTTCTCTCCTTCCGTGACACGGGTTTCATAGCAATATGCCAGAAGGATATCAATCAAACTGTAGTACACTTGACGACAGGCTTTCTTGTCCAGCAGATAAGATTTATTGACAAATTTTCGTAGCTGATATTTCTCTTCTTCAGAAAAAGACACTAGAAGAAAACGCATTTAAAAATTAGATGTTTCATTCATTTTTGTAAATCCCCCAATGTGGAAGATTTGTCAAAATTAGAACTTTGATTATAGAAACTGAAATAAAAGTTATTTCTACTTAACTCTGGATATATAAATAACTTAAGTAGACGTCACAGTTTTAGTAAGAGCTGTGAGTCTGCTCAAATCCTAATAGGGCTGAATAAAGATTTTTTGAAATAATATCTAATCCTTAATTCCCAACCCTCCCTTTTTTGCTACACTGTTCTGTACTTAAGGTGTCTGAATGCCAGTTACTGACTTTAAAATTAAGATAACACATTTTGACAACAGAAAGCGCTAAAGTACACTGAAAATATTCATTATCCATTTGAAAGTTCTATACCAAGAAATAGGAATATTCCCAGATATTAATCAATTAAAATTGTTACATTTAAACTAAACTAAATTTCAATTCAAATTAATCCATTAAAATCTCATATTGTCTACCATATAAATCAAGTTTTACATATGACCACATCACATACATTAGACTTGTGGGACGAGACTGTTTCTTTACAACACGGTTCCTTTTTCCTTTTCTTCTTTTGCTTGGCACCCTCTCTCCACCTGAATATTCGTCAACAGCCTCTCACCCACTAAAAATCTAGTATATACCATTCCATAGTTTTCTCTACAGACATGTAATCATATACAGACACACAAGCATACATACTAGGGAGTTTGTACTTCCTACGCCCTCCCTTGACCCAAATAACTAGGTCATTTTTCTCCATCTAGCCCTTCTCACTCAACAATACCTCTGGCAAATCCCTAAAAGTCAACTGGTGTGTAACTAATTTTTGTAAAGGAGTATAATATTCCAAAACGTACCATGCTCTATCCAACCACTCCCCCTACTGATGGGCACTGACGTTGCTTCTAGCTTTCTGCCACTGCTAATAATGCTGCAATAAATATCCTTATCCTATGTCCTTGGATATTAGAGGCTTTATTTCCATAAAGTAGACTCTCGAGACTGGATTGACTGGGTTAAAAAAGTATCTGTTTTAGAAAGATACTTTACTTAAAGGCTACAATAACTCTCCTTTCTCACAGTCATGAATAGAAGTTCCTCTTCCTACACATACCTCCCACCTTCCCCTGGCAAGAAATGTAATAGCTTTTTTACAATCATTTCCAGGTTAATAAATTGAGTAGAGCAGGCAGAATTCCAAGATGACCTCCAATGAGTCATATCACTATGTGGGGATGGAGCTTGTGACTTGCATCTATCCAACAGAATATAGCCAGGCAATGGGACAGTCATTTCCATGATTACATTCCATTATTAGCAGACCAAAGCCAGGGACTCACCTGCTAGTTTTGAAGAAATGTCACACGGTGAAGTGAGAGAGCCTGTGAGAAGGCTATATGGCAGGGACCTGTAGGGGCCTCTAAGATCGAAGAGTGGCCCCCAGCTGACAGCCAGCAACAAAGTAGGGGCCTCAGTTCTGTATCTGCGAGGAACTAAATTCTGCCAACAATCATGTGAGACTGGAAGAAGACCTTGAGCTCCAGGAAACACAGCCTCCAACATTTGTTTTTAAAAAAAATAAGATGGGTATTTTTGGCTACAGCCTTGCAAGACCTCACACAGTGGACCCAGGTAAGCCAGGCCCAACTTCTGACTCGCGGAAACTGAGATCATGAACGTACACTGTGTGAAGCTTGTGATAATTTGTTATGCAGCAAAAGAGAACTAAAACAGTGACTTATCATTGTTATTTCACTTAGTATTTCTCCAAATGCTCAACTTTAAGCACTAGTTCCTTGGTTTGTAAGCAATCTGGATTTGCACTCTTATGAGTAACCCATTCGGATGTGTTTTGTCCAGTTTTTTCTTCCATTGGATGGCTTGTCTTGTCAAATTAAGAATCCTGTATATTATAGATATAAACCCTAATCATCTTTCCAAAGCTACCATATCTCTACAGACATGTAATCATATACAGACACACAAGCATACATACTAGGGAGTTTCTACTGACTTTGTTTATGGTACCTTTTGCCATTGAAGCATTTATTTTTCATGTAGTCAAATATGTCCATCTTTTTTTTTTTAAGACAATATTCTGGATTTAAAGCTTTAGTTAAGGTTTCCCCAATCCTTGAATTGTACATGAAGTCTCTTTAAGATTAAATTATCCATTAAGTGGAGGTATAGCATCATAAATAAAGGTCCTCATCCTGGTCTTCACATTGAGTAGACTGAGGAAAACGAGGAAGAGGAAGGGTTGGTTTTCCTATCTCAGGGGTGGCAGAGGCAAAAGAAAATCCCCATATAAGCAGACCTATGCATTTCAAACATTTTTGTTCAAGGGTCAACTGGGTTTAATTTAAAATTTACTAGATTTAATCAATAAGACAGATAAACTGAGTGTTGATTGCCTCACCGGAGGACACATCTGAAGATTCCTTAATTTAAATAAAAGCTCTCAGTTCACTTTAAGCAATCTGATTTAAGGAAATGGCATGAAGGAATACACTCACTGCAGGAAGAAAGCATACCTGACAAAATATTTTAAGACTCCTGGTATTTAGCAAGAAGGTTTGAGACAGTATTCCCTTAGGTATGGTTTTTGAGATGTTCATTAATTTAGCTAATGGGAAAATGCCAGGTGTTCATGATATCTGACTAGAGAAATATCTTTATATCCTAGTTGACTAATAAAGATCCCTGCTCCCACATAATTCTCAATCACAAAGTAAGTTTGCCCAGAAACCATTTAGCAACATGTCAACTCTCCACATATTTATGCCTTCATTTTTAAGTAATCATACCTATCAATGCTTAATCATTTGTAAAAGTTGATCTAGGCAATGTAGGTTCTGATGTTACATTACGCACATGGAAGTGTTTCTACATTAGTCATTTTCAGTAACTGTGCACAGAAGAAAAACCTACTTGAATTATTCTTCTGAATTCTTGGATACTAGGAGCTGTTAGACTTTCCCTAAAACACTTCCACCTTTTACTGAGCATTTATAAGTTCCATTGTGGCCTACTTCATTAATAATACACAAATGCATTTAAATTCTGAAATTCAAGCAAAGAAATCAGAGATGATAAATAACAATAACAACAAACCAGGAAATCACTAGAGAAACCAAAAGTCTGAGCTCCCTAAGGCCTTTTTTATTAGAGCTATAAATCATATCACCCAAAGGGGAACTTGGGGGAAGTTTGCACACAATCAAGTCTAACCTAGCAGCAGTACTGGAAATAACTACAGATGCAGTGCCAACAATGCTTGGATGATTGCCACCATGAGTAACATTTGTCAAGCATTTATATGACTTAGCTACACTACAAAGCAGCTTTGCCATATAGTTCACAATGTTTTGGTTAATTATACTTTTAAAAACAATCTCCAGTGAAATAAAAGTCAGTTGAACTCAGTACATTTGAGGAGGAAACTGGTACTCGAGCATCGAAGCAAATGGCCGAGGACCACCTCCCAACATCAAAACGCCACCAATATGTCTGAAGGCTGCAAAGGGACTCTCATCAAAATGGAAAGATGTCTGCAAGGTAGTCACTTTTCTCTCCCAAATATTTTCTAATTTTGTTATTTTTAAATCCTCCCTTCCTCTCTAAATCCCCCTCCCAAACATCCCTCTTATCTAGGTCAACAATTAAATCACAAAGGATCTCGATGCTCTCAGAGTAATGCACATCTGTCTATTACATTGTACATTCATTGGAACCAGATCAAGGGAACCAGAAAAAATTGTGCTGCATTCAAACCTTCAGCCTAAATGGGTAGCCCTGCAGTGCTACAACTTTCAAAGTTGACACTGACAGTTATCTCTACAAACACTGAAGGGCTCACTGGTGCCAAACAGGATGTCCCTGCTAGGAAGTTCATTGACTATAAATGTTATGTGGTGTCATAACATGCAATAACGTGCCAAGACTTTGGAGCTTCAGATTAACCACTGAAAGACAACATGGGAAATGCGGTAAGTTCATCCTCATGAAACCAGAGCTCAGGGGAAGCATAGCGTTTAACACTTCCATTTACAAGCCTTTGGGGAGGAAAATCTGGATCACTACAAAGCTGGAGAAAAGTCTCCCTGTTGTAACTCAGGGCTGTGATGAAAATGACAAGAATTACAACCAAGGGAGAAAGAGAGGGAGCAAAGTTCACCACCTAAGGCTTATCTGGAATTCAAAGCAATCTAGGTTAATATTTTATGATACAGAACAAATCGAAGGTACACCCCTCACCTGCACTGTTATATCTGCCTGGCAACACCTGATGAGGAGGTGTTAAACAGACAACAGCCCACAGCTATGACACAAGGAGGAAGAAGGCCAGAGAGGCAAAGAACAAAGAGGAACAGGGGAAAAGGTACAGCAGCAGGCACCGCAGGTAAGCAGAAAACTGTGAGGTTTATTTCTTGGTTTATTTCTTTTCCCCCATATTTTATCCTGGCTCAACACACTTCAATTTATTCCTCCAATTCTGAATGCCTCAAATATTTGAACCAGAATTTTTTAAATGAGAGAGAAATTTTGTTAACAAGGAACCTTCCCTTAAAGCTTTCTAAATGTATAAAAATTGTAATTTCACAGAGAAACTAACCAACTCCTGGCTCTCCTGTGACTGATTTTACTCTATAATAATAATTTCTAACATTTACAGGATTTTAAATATAACGTTTCATTCAATCTCAGGACAACTCTGAGGTAGGTACAGGATTTCCACAGCAACCCAAAGGTGCAAGATCATATCGCAAGCATGTGGTGGAACAAGAAGTCCAACCCCAAGCCTACATTGAGTTTATATCTTATATTTGGTATTATTAGAAGAGACACTCTGTTCAACACAAAGCTCAAGTTCTTCTACCTTAGATCACATGTCCTTGCTATTTTTAAAGGTGGTTTTTAGAATGAATCATCATAATGGCTTTGCAGACTATGACTGTTCCTGATGCACCAGCCTGGCTATCAGCCATGGGTCAGATGAAGGGTCAGGAGGGCAGGTGGTTAAAAGGACTGGGTGGCTTGATCTCCTGCTAAAATTACACAGAGAAGACTAACTCAAAGCATTGCTGACACAGAAAACTGGACTGAGAATAAGCTACAATTTATCAAAGTAGAGCAAGTTAGAATTTAAATCAAAGGGAATGCCTTCTCTTGATTTTTAGGGCCACTAGCTCACCCTGGTGGACAGAAAACTCAACTACGCAACCATCAATTTTCTCCCACACCACTCATTAAAATACTGTGCAAAAATTAGGGAAACTGACTCAAACCAATTGATATACTAGATGATTTAAGTTTGCTCAAACTTTATGACCAGATCTATCTAGCATATACAGTTAACTATCTAAATTGTGTTAGCAATCCTAAACCTGAAAATGTGCCTATATATACATATAGAACGTGAGAAGTCTGAAAGCTGCTTAAACTCAAATATAAAAGTCAGGATTTGTTGAAAACGACAATAAATCTATAACAAGAGTCACTATAATGAGCTTCTGTGATGCACTAAAGCTAATCCTCTTTTTTCTAAAATATTATAGTAGCAATGTTTTGATCTGGTAGAAATCACCTAAACTTTAATAAAACTTAACCATAAAAATATTTATTACAATATTTATAGATATTTATTGAGTACCTTTGTATAACAGGCACTATACTAGACACTGAAAAAATAGCAGATAACAGGTTATTGCATTGATATGCAGAAAACAAAAAACTGTGATGCATTAGAGACCCTGCAGCTACTTCAGAATGAGTGGTCAAAGAAAGTCACTATATATATTATTTGCAACTGCAGAAAGCAGGAAATCACCCAAATGTCCACCAGTTGTAAACAGCCCAAATATCCATCAATCATGAAAAAAAATCCAACGGGATACTAGGTAATCATGAAAAGCTTCAAGTAGATCTGTACATACTGATATGGAAGATGTGCAACACACTACAAATTGAAAACAACAAGGTACGAACCGGGTATACGTGAGTCTATGTGTAGACATTTCTAAAAGCAACTATTTAGATGTGGGAATATATATTTCTAAAATATCCCCAAAATTACTAATAGTGATTACTTCTGGGAAGAGGAACTTGAGGTGGAAAAAGTCTATATTCCATTCAGTATTCTTCAGAATGTACATATGTGTGTATTCTTTCCATTTAAACATTGAAATTTTATTTTTAATATGTAAATAAAAGCCAAATCAGTGTGACAGAAAACATGGGTGTTCTTTCCTTGATCTGTCTGCAAATGTTATATTTCTAATGTATAGTCTTAATATATCAACGCTGTACTTAGACAAGGTGGTAATAACATGTCCATCTAGGTCTTTTCCCACCTGGGTCTTTTCCCCCCATTACTAATACTCAAATGTCCTTACCAAAGAAGAATGTTCATACCTCTTAAGCAGGTTATTGAGAAACTACAAATGTCCTGTGTGATCATATCCCTAAATTTAGGTTTTAAAAAATAATTAATTGTAAAAGAACTCCAATGATTCTAAAGGAAAACATACTTCAAAAGAATTTTCCAACACAAATAAGCCTAATTACTTAGTGGCATGTTCCAGTCAGAGGCAAAGACGTCATTTCCAAAACTAGCAATTCAAACTCATATTTTAACATTATAAGGCAATTACATCTATATGCTTAATAATATGGAAGGCAGTAAATGTGGTACATACACCATGAGATTTTAAAATGAAACAAATTAGCCGAATTTGAGTTTCTTACCTAATGCAGCATGATTTTCTTCCTCCTGACTCTTTTCCAAAAAGGCCTTCATTTTTGAATATTTGTCAATCCACCAAGGATTATATTTCAAAATCTGTTCAATCGCCTCATCTTCAAAAAAGTCAGCTCTAGGAAAAAACATTGAAAGAACTTATTATACTGGCTTTTACTTTTTAACATTTTATCTTAACTCATATTTGTACCAGAAATACAGATTTTTAATTCAAAGTACATTTCAAGGAAAGACTGAACACTATATTTACTTTCTTTGTAGTTACCAACCACAAACATAAGTTACTTATCATAAAACAAAAGTAAGTATCTGATTAAAGGGATATATAAGATTTCTGATCTTTTTTGTTGTTGTTGTTAACTTTTTTAAAAAGAGATGGGTCTCACTCTGTCATTCAGGCTAGAGTACAGTAGCATGATCGCAGCTCACTGCAGCCTCAAACTCCTGGGGTCAAGCAATCCTCCTGTCACAGCCTCTCAAGCAGCTATGACTATAGGCACGTGCTACTGAGACTGGCTAATTTCTATTTTTTTTATAGAAACAGGGTCTTGCTTCCTTGCCCAGACAGGTCTTAAACTCTCAGCCTCAAGTGATCCTCCCACCACAGCCTCCCAAAGTGTGCTGGGATTACAGGCTTGACCCACTGTGTCCAACCTCTGATCTCTTTAAATAGAAGGTACGTAGAAGACTGGTCCTACCCTGAAGTCCCATCCCATATTCAATGATGTGAAATGAAGCAAATCTGAAGACACACTGGAATGAAATCTAGCACTTGTGCTAGGTCTGCAAGTACCACAGACTTCAGTAAAATTTCAATAAAGGAAAAAATTTTTGAACTCAACCAGCAAAGAAAAACAAGCAGATGAGTAGGAAATTCAGGATACTGCATCTCCGCAAAGACGCTAAAAGGGGCTATACACACACACACACACACACACACACACACACACACACACCATTTTTGGCATGTGCACTCATATTTTCTACCAAGATACAATCTATTTTATTAAGATATGAATTTTAACAGTTCCTTAAATTACTGAAGAAGATAAAAGCAACATTTGTAGAGAACAGAAAGTTAATTTTCCTGTACTCTACATTCCTGTTTTAACTAGAAAAATAACAGCCACATTCAAAATATACCTCTCACTCTTAGAGGACACTTATTTAGAAATGATTCTATCTTGCATTCAAAGTTGGAAACTGGTATTCTTGGGAAAAGCATTAACAAAGTATAACTCAATGGTGAAAATTTTATTTATATTTTAGTTAACCAGAAACTCAAGGAATTGGTTGCTTTGATACACTGAATTTTCTAACTGATAGTTTTACAACCTTAGACACTTGAAGTTCCCTTTCAACTGAGATACTGAAATCGTTTAAAAATTAGAAAGATCACAGACAACTTACGGAGTTCTTTGTATGTTCCAGGCACTGCACTAAAAGCTTTGCATCCATTATTTCCTTGAATCTTCACACCATCACTATGAGCATGGGGTACTATTAATACCATCATTTTACAAAGGTAGAAACTGAGGCTCAGAAAAGTTTTGTAGCTTGGCCAAGTTCAGAGAACAAGTAAAAAGCATAGCTAGGATGTAGACCTACTTAACTCTTACTCCAGATTCCAAGCTCTTAACCAAATAAATATTCCATTTTTATATAGGAGGAAATAAAGTACATATTAGACAAAACTGAACAGCTAATATCTTGAAATAGGAATTGTCAGTAACGATTTCTGACAGGTGCACAGACATGTGAGACTAAGACAAAATAGCTGCTTCATAAACTAATCCTGCTAAGCCTATTTTCTTCTTAGCTATCTCTTTCTCCTTAAAGTGAAGGAACTCTTTTGAATTGAGGTTCTACTATAAACTCATCCACAAATCAGAACGTGAGCTTTTTTCCAGGAAATGAATTTTAAATGGATAAACAATAATCAATGACTAACATGCTAAATAAGTCATTCATTCAACAGAAAGTATTGACATTGTGCCACGTTCCATGTTCCATGTTAGGCACTAGGGTTCCACTGCTGACAAGACACAGACAGTCCTGGCCCTCACACAACTTACAATCCCATGGGAGAGTCAAACAATTACAATATAGCAAAATGCTATGACATAACAGCAGTGTAAGATTCTAGGGCAAAATAAATTAGAATGACAGGCAAGGACCCTGGAGGATATAATATCTAAACCAACGGTGGAATGACAATGAACAGTTAACCAGAGGAAGACGAGTAGGAGAGAGTATTCTGTGATGAAAAACTGGTTGGCAAAGGCTAGAAAACAAGAAGGCACATTTAAGGGGAAAAAAAGTCGAAAGAAGCTGAAAATAATATAGTGGCAACCACCTTGTAAGCCATATCTAAGAAATCTCAAAGATTATCCCTACCAACTAAACACTTAAAAGCTTTGCACATAGGGGAATGACACTGGCATGGTTTAGAAACATCACTCTTATTGCAGCCTGGAGAATGATTTAAAGGGAGAAAGTCTGGAGAAGCAGACATAATGGTGGCCTAGAATAACATAGTGGCAGTAGACACACAGCAAAGTGGATGAATCTGACCTACATGTAGATGGCAGAACCCTCAGGATGCAGGGAACGAGGAGCTCAAGGAGTGAAAAATGACACAGAGAATTCTGGCCTCCATAACTCAGTGGACAACAGTGTCCTTCACTGAGACAGGGACATAGGAGGGAAGCTAACAGATATGAGTGAGAAATAAAGACCCCTGCTTGGGATAGGTTGAGTCTGACATGCCTTTTCTTAGGATTTACAAACATCCCGTCCAATAGGTAGGTGGACATACAAGTCTGATGCTCAAGAGAGAGATATGGGAGTCATAAGCAGTTAAATCAAGAGGAGGATAAAATTGCCCAGGAAGAACTGGCACAGTGAGAGAAAAGGGCCTTGGACACCACAGCGCGGAGGACACCAAAGGCAAGAGTAGAGGAGCCCATCTGAAAAGATGCTGTTTTCCTCCCCAAGGGACCACGATGAAGGGAAAAAGAAAACTGGCTTGGAAACATGGTATTTCTACCACCTCCATCCCCCTCCCCACCAAAAACACCTCCAAAATGTTTGATTATTTTGAGTAAAATTTCACTAACACAGTCCTAGTAATCCAAACTGTGCTGGTCTATGCTTGACATTGTCCATGAATTAAGAGTTTCATGAACAAGCGCTGATGGTGACTAATATTTTACTTTTCATAATAAATTACTTCCAAGTTTTGTCTGTTTTTTCATTTGAGATCTCAATTTTTTTTCAAGATTTTTAAGGTCACAAATTGAACAAGCATTCACTGAATGCCCTCTACGTGCGTCGTCAGGAAGATGAAGATCTGTAAAATTCACTTCCTGCCCTTAAAGACTCCACAATTTAATGAGAACCAGGTACACAAATACAGAACATTATAAAACAATGTGGTAAAAACAAGATAAACTGTAACAGGGGAGCACTGAGGTGGGCTTCCTAAGCCAGTCTAACAGGGCGAGTGCATGGGAGAAACAATGAGCCTAGTCTGAAGAGATAAGAACCACTATTCAGGCAATGTGGGGTCAGGGGAAATAAATGGCAAAGGGATACGATGATAAAAGGAAACATATGAGAAGCAGTGTGGGCTGGGCGTGATGGCTCATGTCTGTAATTACAACACTTTGGGAGGCCAAGGTGGGTGAATCACGTGAGGTCAGGAGTTTGAGACCAGCCTGGCCAACATGGTGAAACCCTATCTCTATTAAAAACACAAAAGTTAGCCAGGCATGGTGGTGCAGGCCTGTAAGCTCAGCTACTCAGGAGGCTGAGGTGGGAGAATCACTTGAACCTGGGAGGCAGAGGCCATGGTGAGCTGAGATCGCACCACTGCACTACAACCTAGGCAACAGAGCAAGACTCCGTCTCAAAAAAAAAGAGAGAAAAGCAGTGTGGTACAGGTGGGGAAATGCAAACATTCATCATTGTTGAGGCGTAAAACGTGAGCAGGGAGTGGCAAAAGTGAAGCTACAGAAGTAGGCAGGGTCCAGATCACAGAGAACTTGCAATGACACACAAAGGAGTTAAGTACTTTAAGCAGAAGAGCATCAAGGACAGGGTTCAGCAGATTTTCATTTTCAGCATGTAAGACATCATACTAATGGTTCATGGTTGATGGATCTGAAGTAGCCCGGACTAGCAGCAGAGATGCCAGTTAGGCAGTTAGTGAGTGCTGCACTAAACCAGACACAGATGAGGGCCAGAAATTGATGAAATGGAAAAAAAAATGGAAAAAAAAAAATACTACAGAGATGAATGGTACAACTTCAGAATTGATTGAATGTGTGGGATAAGAGAGAAAGCAAAGATGAATCCCCGCTTTCTAATCTGGGTGACTAGAGTGAAAAATGGGGCATCAACCAAGTTAGAAAATTCACAAAGACTTTAGAGGTAAAATGATGAGTTCAATTTTGGACATGTTGAAACAGAGAAGTCAGTGGGATACCGAGTCTCTCTCTAACCCTTCAATCTGCTTCTTCCTCATAGCACTTAATCAAAATAAAAATAGTGTCTACTTCCTCCACTACAATGGAAGTCCCATGGACAGCACAGAGATTGAGATCTTGCCATATGCACCACGGTGTCCTTGGTATCTGTGACACTGCTTAGCATGTAGTTCATTCAGACAAATATTTGTTGAACAAATAAATACATAAATGAAAGAATGGATACATAAAATTGTATTCTAATGCTTTTTCTCAAGTTCTATGTTTTGAATTGAGAGCCACCTCAGAAGCATGTGATCCTGCTCCCAGTCTTCCAATTACTATTTATTGTCTTAATATCCACTCAATAAATCCAAGAGTTTAATCAATATACCATCTTCTTTCACAAATTTAGAGTAATGAAAAATTATCGCAATTTAAAACGGTACCACAAATGGTATAAGATCATTTTTGTCCCTTTTCTTATCTCACAGATGTTTAGAACACTGACTAAATTCTTGTGCTTCCTTCCAAAGAAAGAGGCAAGATTTTAAGACCTTATTAATGTAAAATGTATGCCAACAATTTAAAAACTATTGGGGAAGAAGAAAACCAAACATTATCAGCAAGAGAAATATGAATACTT